TCTCCTCTCTTCTCTCCTCTTCTCCTCCCTTCCCTTCCCTTCCCTTCTCCTCTCCTCTCCTCTCCTCTCTTTCTCTCTCCCTTTTGTGTTATCCTGTTCCCCTACCCAGGTGCTTGGGAGCTTCTTGAAGCTGATTCCCACATTCATCATTTCAATTAATCTCCGGTCTGTATTTTGTTCAGATTCTGGCACTATCACACGCCAATCCTGCTTCTTGAGGCTCTGGGAAGGCTAAAGAAATAGACTGGAAGGCGAGATTTGGCTGGCTGGAGAGACACAGAAGTGCGTCATGTTGTGTCCGGCCATTTTGAATGCAGTGAGTCTCATTCACCCTCCCTGGAAAAGCGGGGGCAGTTTTGGGGGGCCCCAGGCCTGTTGCTTTGGCAGGAGATCTTCTGGGGTTTGACCCCCCGAGATGGACGACGTTTCCATGTTTGAAGCTCTGTACCAAGGGAACTTAATGTTAGCATTTTGGATCAATTTCGAATTTCCTGCTTGGACTTTTCTAATCGAACTGACCTGAAGAGTCAGCTGAATTTTGCTTGTGGGGCACAAGGTGGATGAGCCTGGAAGTGGCTGGACTGCCCAACCAGCCCAAAGACCGACACCCCCCACCCCACTTTCCCCACCCCCCTGGGGGAGCTTGGAGAAGGGGCTTTTGCAGATTCCCTCATGGCCGGTGAAGCCCCCACCCCACCCCAGGAGAGCCCTCCTGCCTCCTGGGAGCCCCACCTTCCCTCTCGCGCGTGGCCTATCTCCCCTCTAAGGCCTGCTCCGTGGCCCCCACTCGGGCCCTGGGCTCAGCTGGCTTCTGATCCTGGCCCCCTCCTCCAAAACAAGCCCTTCTTTCCCGCAGAGCCCGAGAGGTGGGAGTGGGTGCTGGAGCCCTCCTGCTCCCGGGGCTTGACACGATGCCCCCCCGCCCCCTCCGTGTCTGGGAAGAGCAAGCACAGGGGCGCAGACGTGATCCTTTCTCTAGCACAAAGGAAGACTCTGGACTTACCTTCACCGGCTCCTTCTTTCGTCTAGAGAGGAAGCTGGAGCCCTTCAGAGATCAGGAGGAAATTGCAAATACCTGCTGGGTCCTGGGCCTTCCCCCCCCCCCCATTCTTTCAATTTCTCTACCGACTCCTCCTTTGCAAGGGAAATTCAGAGGGTTGCAACTGGCTGCAGCTTTGACAGAAGGAAGTGTCAATAAAAATGCATCCCTTCTGTCCGGTGAGATGGGCCCTGGGCACATGTCCATTCCTGGCTGCTCAGGCCCTGGACCAACCCTTCCACTTCGTACCCTGAGGGGACACAGGTGGAGACGTGGTGGCCACTGCCAGGGGAACCACTAAATTTCATTCAAGTTATTTGATTTAATGTTGCCATACACTACGGGTGTCTTACGAACTGAATAAAAAAGTAAACAAGTAAAACAATTTAAAAAGCAACAGCACAGGGAATCAGCCAGAAAGGAATTTCCTCCAGATGAGCAGGACTGAAACAGCCAGATGTTCCCCCGAAATCTACACCAAGTTCTCTCTGCTCCCCAGGCACCTTGAAATATGCAGCATTTGCCCTTCCATGACTGGTGTGTTGACTGTGGTTCAACCAACTACAGTCAAGTTCAATCAACTTGATTAAGCAAACCATTCCTCATGATACCGGGCAAACCCCAACTCACACCGAAATTCACTCCCTTGACTTGAAGATTTCAGAATATCAGGTAAATAATACCTGAATTAATACCTTCTTCTCACTCTTGTCTGTATGAAATATTTTATTAAAATCATCAATAATTGTGCAAAAGGTAATAAGACCGTTAAATGTATGTGATCTAAGGGGTGACCAAGGTCAAATCCAAGCGCTGAGAGGTTTTCCTTTGCATTCGACCCAGAGGCTGCCTTCCTCTGACTTCACTCTTTTCTTCCAACTCCTGCACCCAGGAAAGAGGGAAAACTTCTATGAGACGCAGAAGTTAAATCGATAGAGATACACCAGTGTTTGAGTATGACTGTGGAGTAGACAAGCCTGATGGATATGCAGGCTCTGGGCATTTGGCATCATAAGATAAGCTGGGGCTCACAATCTCTGGCAATGCAAAAGGCATTTTGATGTCTAGGAAGAGTTATTTTAATATACAAACATGCCTACAGCTACACCCAAATTTGTCAGATGCTGCGCCTTATAGATTAAGGAAGCGGATTCTCTTCTGAGGTCCATTTGATGGCAGTTGCCCTGGCACCGAGTCTGCCCAGCTGCTTGGCTGTCCTGCTCAGAAGATCCTCGCTGAATCCCAGCAGATTCCTGGGATAGCCACGAAAAAGGCCTGTCTTTTGAACAACAACGTGGAAGTCTGTGGGCAGAAAGGATGGTTGGGCCGTGAAAACTGTGAAACCTTGTGCCCATTTCTCTCAAAGCTGGCCCCGTGACAGAGTCCTGGTCTTTTCTTCCTTTCTCTCTCTGTAATCTTGAAGAAGCTGCCCGAGTGAAAGCCAGCCCACTGCCCCCAGGTTGGCCAGACGCTCCCTCCTCTGGTTGCATCATTTTGGAAGAACACAAAAAGCCACATCCCACTGGTGGCTGCAGCGGCTGATGCGGAATGCGTTGTCGGCCAGATGGGTGTTCCCCTCATGCACACCGCCTCTCCCTCTGCTACGGGGCAAAGAACCCCACATCCAAACAAAAGGATCGTTTCTGGAAGGCAGCCCTGCTGCGTTGGGGTGGAAATGCCACCTTTTCTATCTGTTGATGTACTCAAAATAGCCACTTCCACCCACACAGCGGCACAGAAGCTGCTTTCCAGATGGGCTGGGAATTCAGGAAGGTGTTTCCCTTCCTAGAAACATCACTTGCAAAGGGGCTATTTCTGTTGCAAACTTCTGGAAAAATAAAGGGAGGCAGAGCTAGAAATAAGCAGGATCTCAGCCTTTGGTTTCAGGCCTCGAGAGGGCAGCCCTGACCAGCCTCCCCCCGGAGAGCCGGGGGTCAGAGGGGCTCCGTCTGCTGCTGCATCGGCCATTTTGCCCTGGAGGCTGACCTTCCGTGGCATCCCAGGGCAAGAATCCTCAAGCAACCTGGGCAGAGAGATCGGATTTGGGGACGAGGGGCTGAGCTGGTGTATCCAAGCAAACGTCTCCAGCATCCTGGCTTTTAGATAGTCAAATCTGTCAATTCTCAGAAAGAATCTCCAGAACGCGGTCCGCACCACAAATATCCTACAAAAGGTCCCCGGTCAGGTTCTTTATGTCGTAGATTAGTTATTGCCACTGACCTCAACAGCCTTCTTTCTATTAGAAGGTTGGTTGCTATTGGTTGGTAGTCTTTATGCATATGTCGTTTTACTCCCATTTGTTCAATGTGCTCTTTGACTTTGAATCCTGGGCCTCGCAGACACTCCGACTGCTAAGTGCCCTCCACCCACCTGGCCCACAAAGGGATCCGGTACACGTCCTCCGGTGGGATGAAATGTCTGGATCCCCAGGAGGGAGGGGTAGCCTTACAGAGGACTAAGAGGCAACTCAGCTTGGATAGTTTGTGTAGAGCAGGGGTGTCCAACCTTGGCAACTTTAAGACTTGTGGACTTCAACTCCCAGAATTCCTCAGCCAGCAAAGCTGGCTGAG